CGGGGTGCAGAGCCAGAGGTGTGGCCAATGGGAGTCAGGGGGTGTGGCCAATGGGGGTCAGGGGCATGGTTAACATGGGTCAGGGGCATGGCTAATGGGGGTCAAAGTACATTTTAAAAAAATTCTTTGGGTGCACACCCTAATGAAATGTGCTGCGCATGCCTATGTTATCAATAGTCTGACAATGAGACAAGATTGCAATTAAGACAAAAATTATGGCAATATTCTGTCTAGATCCTCCTGGTAATAACTCAGTTCTAGCATTCAACTTCGCTGCATTGTGAGCAGTGAGTGATATGCACACATAAACTGAAAGAAGTAGAGCTGAAACTAAGTGCTAGTGTAAATGTCTGAAAGGAGACTTTTGCCCTATTTTGCAAATTTTATATTGAAACACAGGGATGGTGACAGACATCACTGGGACTTGGGCAATGTGGGGGGCATAGTCTTGGGTGGAAGGGGTGGAGCTAGTATCTAGCCTCTCTCAGCCAGCCTTCAGTGCTATACAGGACTCTGGGGCTGAGGCTACTGTTGATGCCATGGTGGAGATGGCCTGGAGCCCTGGGCCAATTGCTCTTTTTGCCTGCCCTTCCTCCTCTCCCCTCCTCCCCCAAACCACAATGGCAGAATTGTTGACACATGGACTTAGAAGGAAAATATGAGGATTTCAGCACTTCACTTTTTTTCTACTGTATAAAATAAGGATAATGAGATTTAGGGTTTCTCTACACAAGGAAATTTAGCAGTATAGTAATACTGGTATATCTCCCTGTATGAAACCCAAAAGGAGTTACATCAGAATAATTATGCTACTCATACCATTTTTCCACGTAAGTGAGTTCGAAGGAAGAGAGAATAGAGAAAGGGACCTTCAGCTGTGAGGAAAAAATGATCCTTTAATATTTGGTATTTAGTTTCATACAGAAAATACTAATGTCAGTCTAATGTGGAACTGTTTTGCCAATGATTACAGGGTATAGCACATAATCTGCTCAATGCTTGCAATGCTTATAAAAAAATGCAGGGGAAACAGAGACCTATAATAACCATGAAAACATGAAGACTGTGTTGGAATGAATGGAAGAGATTAAGCACTCATTAGGCAAGGATGAATATAACCTCCTGCGTCTATTAAAAATGAACTTCCTTGACCTTTTACCTTATTTCTTTATTATTAATGGAATCCCAAAGGAGAAAACTTTAGTAGGCAGTGTGTACCAAATTACTGATCTAATGAAAACTTGTTCAGCAACTTTTTATAAGTAAATTACATTTCTCAGGGGGATTAACCTACCAGCTGATTTTACTTTTCTGCAACTTGTGACCTTCTGCATAGTGCAATTCCTCAGAGAAATGCATAGGCAGCCTTAGCTGTTTATTGAGGACTAAGGACAGAAATAACAAGTTAAATCATTTCTTGTTATCTCAAAGAGTAATAGGTTCTAATGGTTTTCTTAAACCAAACATGCTTTAAAGGGGGAATTTTCATACGGAAGCAAATTCAAGAAGAGAGAATTATACAAAAAGTTTATCTGAGTTATTTTCTTAGTCCCCTTTACTAGTGTTATTTCACATATCGGCCTTAGATTAGACTGAAACGAACAATTCACAGGCCAGTTCCTTTTTACACGTTATAATTGTGTGGTGAAGTCACACCATAATCTTATGGTTGTGGGACACCACATTTTGTTGCAATGGGATAGATGTGATGTCAGGGATTCAAAATTATGAAGTCACTGTGGGACATAGAAGAGAAGCTCAACTGGGGAAGAGCAACTTTCAGCTAGAGGTACAAACCTCTCAGTAAATTGATAAATGTGGCAAAAAATGGCAGGAAAACAAGTTAATACATTTATGTTCTAAATCTATCTTTGTTAGTGTGAGCCCGGCCAGCAGCTCCAGACGGGAAAGAGCTCTCTGCTCTCTCTATTGGAAATTAATGGGAATTCAGAGCACTCAGCATATCACATGATTATGCTCTTATACAGGTAACAGAAAACTTGATTCACTACCATCAGCATTGAGACAAGACACACACTAAAGCACCTATAAAGACTTAAGTGATTTATTTAAACAATCTGAGTTTCAATTCTGGTTCATATTGGGTGTGTGTATGTGAGAGAGATTCCTGTTCTTGTCAACTTCCACTTAAGTTAATGGCATTTTGGCTATTTGGAGCCTGTGAATAAAGACTACAAGATTTGGTATATTATCTGTGTAATCAGTGTTATCTGAGTAGGTTTGTAACATCTCATTTGGAGATCTTTAAGTCAATGGAACCAGTGTGGACATTTTTCTACAAAGGGAACATATATAAATCACACAGAACAGGGCTTCGTTTTAATCAGATCTTCTTTGTTGTTTGTAGCACAGCATATGCCATTATGTATTCTCAACACGTGGTTTTAATGCTGATATGCTCCCAAGACATTTGTCAGTAGCTTTACATACCAAAAAAGTCAGGGGCACTTCCGGGTGATGAGCATTGCTCTCTGCTGACTTTATCAACATTTAATAAATATCAGATGGGACATGCTGGGCCTTGCTTCACTTGACACACTTTTCTTTTTTCCTGACTTATTTTAATAAGAGGTTTGTTTTTTCTGTCTCACTGTTGGGAAGACATCTGGCCAAACAGACAGCAAGTCACTACAAAGGGATCCTGCTGGCTCACATGTTTTGGGGACCCCCATCTCTGTGAACCAAGATTGTCACAATAAACATGCAAGAGAGACATCCCCCTGTTACCAGCCTTTGTAGTATTTGTTTTTATAGCATTACATTCTAGTGACTGGGAACTTTGTTTTTCTGCAGGAGGTACCCATCTGCAGTCTCCTTTTGTGCTACAGCAAGGCAGTTTTTTTCTTTTAAAATTACAGGGGGCCAATTGCATATTCTCTTTGCCAATGTGCAGATACCTTATCAAAGGTCAGACGTCTCAAACATATTCTGTTTCAAAGACCATGATTTTAAATGCTTAAGTGTAATGTGTATACATATTTTCCTGTCAGATAATTCTTTTGAAATATTTTCCA